TGTTTCTGAAAGAGGTCACATCTGCCTTGCCTTTCTTTTAAATCCAAATGTTTATTTGGACTTCGGGTATATTGACCGTCCTGTAGCCTAGCTGTGCTGAATCAAGATACAAACACATGGATAGTTTTACTCGCTGTTGTGCTAGCTGAGCTTGCTTATGGACCCTGGACTTTGAAGTGTAGAAAATTCGAAGGCAGAAGAGGAGACAGTGGAGCCTGTGTTCTCTGACTCAGAGACCCCAAGTCACCACCCATCACTGGTCATTTCCCAACCTAAGTTTCTGTGAGATAACAGTGCTGCCAGCTTTTCTTACTCTTCCTTCCAGTTTGGGAGGGAAGGGAGATGGGTTAGATCTGAATTCTTTCCCCCCCACCTTTTTTTTTTTTTTTAATTTTATTTAGGGATGCCTGGGTGGCTCAGTGGTTGAGCATCTGCCTTCAGCTCGGGTCGTGATGCTGGGATCCTGGGATTAAGTCCTGCATCAGCCTCCCCACAGGCAGCCTGCTTCTCCCTCTGCCTGTGTCTCTGCCTCTCTCTGTGTCTCATGAATAAATAAATAAAATCTTTAGTAAAGAAAAATTTTATTTATTTGAGAGAGAGAGAGCACAAACTTGGGAGAGGGGCTGAGGGAGAGGGACAAGCAGACTCCATGCTGAGCACAGAACCCAATGCAGAGTGCTATCCCAGGATGCTGGGATCATGACCTGAGCCAAAGGCAAATGCTTAATCTGCTGAGCCACTCAAGTGCCTCTAGATCTGAATTCTTTTTTTTTTTTTTAAAGATTTTATTTATATATTCATGAGAGACACAGAGTGAGAGAAAGAGGCAAAGACACAGGCAGAGGGAAAAGCAGGCTCCATGCAGGGAGCCTAATGTGGGACTTGATCCCAGAACTCCAGGATCACACCCTTAGCTGAAGGCAGATGCTCAACTGCTGAGCCACCCAGGCATCCCTAGATCTGAATTCTTATTAAATATCTTCTCAGGAGGAAAAATAATACCAATTAAAAAACAAATATTTATCATTCTTTATTCTATTCTAATCTGTATACCAGTTAACCTATAGAAGAGAGGTAAAAGTCCTCCAGAATTTAGAAGTGGGATTATGATAGTAACAAAGTCCTTTGTAGAAGTGATCCAAGAAATTGGCCTTTATAGATTTGGAAATACTTAACATTTAATGAAGGTGATGTAGGTAAGGACTCGTGGTAATTTAAGTAAAAGAAATGAAACCTAACCACTGTATTCTGTTCTGAGAAAGAAGCTGTATTGATGGGAGGGCAAGAAAGGTGGGGAAAGGACGACATAGAGAGGGCGAGGGTTTGCTGTGTATATCCTGCTCCATAAGAGAAGACCAGCTCCTCAAGGTGAAACTCCCACCCACACAGAGACAGTCTCGGGCTCAGGCTTCACCATGAAATAATACTTCGTAATAACAGTTGTAATTAATTAGGCACCTATTGTATTCCAGGCTCAAGGTTAGATTCCGTTGTAACTTTCTTTTTTTTTTTTTTAAGATTTTATTTATTTATTCATGACAGACAGAGAGAGAGAGAGAGAGGTAGAGACACAGGCAGAGGGAGAAGCAGGCTCCACGCAGGGAGTGCAACGCGGGACTCGATCCTGGAACTCCAGGATCACAGCCCGGGCCAAAGACGGTGCTAAACTGCTGGGCCACCGGGGCTGCTCTAGGTTCTGTTTCACCTTATGTCTTTAGTCTCAACAGAACAACTTGTCTCCATCTTAAAAATGAGGAAACGGGATCCCTGGGTGGCGCAGCGGTTTGGCGCCTGCCTTTGGCCCGGGGCGCGATCCTGGAGACCCGGGATCGAATCCCACATCGGGCTCCCAGTGCATGGAGCCTGCTTCTCCCTCTGCCTGTGTCTCTGCCTCTCTCTCTCTCTCTCTGTGACTATCATAATAAAAAAAAAAAAAAATGAGGAAACAGACACAGCCAGGTGAAATGACTTGCCTGATGTTACACAGCTACCAGGGAGCAGAGCTGGGCTTGAATCTGGATCTGATTGATTTTTAATACCAATTTTTAAATCATTGGTTTGTTTTTTAAAAACCAAGTGCCTACTACATGCCAGGAAATGTTCTAGATACTAGGGATGCAGCAGTAAACAAAATAAGCAAAACTCCCTGCAATCATAGAGCTTATGTTCTAGTAAGTACACACCACTATATAAAACACAGAGTCCATCAAAGGGCACCTTAACCTGGTAAAGCCAGGCAGGTGCCAGAGAATGCCAGGGCACAGTTACAGGCTAAAATTGGGCAGGGTGGGCCTTTCTGAGGACGCAGCCCACACAGGGTGTTACAGGGAGCTTCAGGGGTATCTGGAGGAATAGTAGAGTGAACAACAAGCCCAGAAGAAAAGTCCGTTTCCCTTCGGTCTCCAGGACTGCATCCCTCGTCCCAACTCCAGGCCCACAAGCCACCTTTCTGATGACTAATTCTGATCCACGTGTGTCCTGAAACCTAGCAGAGGGCACCTTGAATGGCAGAGTTACTAAAAAGGTGTCCTTCCTGGGATTAGATAGTAAATTGGCATCTGGTCTATGTAAGATCCTTTGGGGTGAGTCAGCCTCTTAAGAAATTGATCCCTCTAGTATTCAGAACCGAAGGTGGAAGAGGTCATTCTTCGAAGCCAGGGAGGAGCCAGGCTTCACACTCAGGTAGGCCTGGGTTCAAATCCTGGTTCTACTGCATGCTAATTGTGATGCCAGGTCAGCTGTCCTCATCCTGTCCAGGCACTGGTAACATGAAGGTATCGGCACTGACCACTCAGGATGTTGGGGAGTGTGAAGAGTGATAATTCTATAAAGCTCTAGCCATGCTGCCTCACTTTTAAAACGTTTAAAACATGGCCCTTCCACCTTTGGGTCTTTGCTGTATAGCCACTTGACACCCCACCCCCACCCCCGCTAGGTGATGTCACTCTGACCTTACATGAAACCAAATGTCTCAGTGTATATGCCTGCTATATTCTTGTTCTTCTCACAAAATGTTTACATGCACTTCCATTTGTCGACATTATCCCGTAGTTGTTTGTCATGCCTGTAGTGTGAGGTAATGTGCTAGACCTGGCTCTGGAGCATCCGGTTTGGAATCTTGTTCTACAGTGTTACCAGCTCCGCGAACTGGGATCACATAATCTCTCTGAAGCTTGCTGTTTGTAAAATGAGGGGGTGATGTCTTCCTTACCTGCCCTTGAGATACTCTAAGGGTCATAGTAAGATAGCCTGCAAATAGATTTGTTTTGTCTATTTAGCAGTTTTAAAGTATTAAGCCTGTGATCCTGCCGTTTACCCAGCAATTGCATTTTTGGAATTTAATTAGGAAATCACACAAGTACACAAAGATGTGTACACAAAGATCTATGAGGATGCCCATCAAAATACCCCATGTAATAGTGAAAGCCAATCAACAGAAAAAACGAAATAAGTTAGAAGATGGGAAGTGCTCTGGAAAAAAAGATGGGAAAGTGAATAGGTTGAGGGGGATCCCAAGTGTGGGGAGTATGGTTTCAAACATGGTAGTTGAATTGGTCTCAGTGAGAAGGACTTGGAATTGGTGAAGGAGGAACTCAGCTTCACAGATGTCAGGGAGTTATCCACTCCGGGCAGAAGGGACAGCCAGTGCCAAGGCCCTGAAGCAGGAACATGCTAATGTGTTTAAGGAAGAGGAGGATGCTGGGTGCTGGGGCAAGGTGAATGAAGAGGAGGACAGGAAAGAGGTCAGAAGGGGACCAGGGACCAAATCACAAAGGCCTGGTTGGCCGTTGTGAAGATTGGCTTTTATTTTGAGTGACATGGGAAGTCTTTGCAGGATTTGGGCAGAGGAGGGCTGTGATCCATGTTTCTGTGTTAGAGGAGACAGTGAGGCTAGTATGTTGAGAACTGGACGCAGGGAGACCAGGAGAGACAGTAACATTAGGCGAGTATTGCACAACCAGGGGAAGAGAGATGGTGACTCAGAGGAGAGTCTAAAGAAAGTGGAGACAAACAGATTCCTGGTGTCTTTTGAAAATGAAGCCAACAGGACTTGCCAACAGATTGGACGTGGGGTGTGAGAGGCGAGAGGTAGAAGATGACTCGAGTCTTCCGTCCAAGTAACAGGAAGGAAGGGGCCCCGTTGGTGACCAGGGGAGGCCTGCGTGGGATGGACCTGGGGGAGGAGAGCAGGAATTGGGTTTGGGAAATGTTAAGTTGGGAAATCTGTTGGGCATCCAAAAGAAGACGAGTCCTTGCTGGCTGTGAACATTTCATGTTCCTCCAGTGTTTAGCAAAAGAACCGGCTCTCCAGATATACTGGTCAAAGGAAGGAACAAGGAAAACTATTCAAGTATTAAGTGAAATGGGTATCAGATGCTCGTTTTGTTTTATGTGTAGGTTTGTGCGTCCACACACACATTTGTAAGAAGAGGTACAGGAAGATACCAACACGTCAACAGGAATTATATGGGATTTTGACATCTGAGTGATTCTAACTTAATTTCTGTCTCCTTTTCAAGAATGTGTACTTTCTAATATCTGTCTCTACAAAGTAACTTATATAAAAGGGAGACTTGGCCTAAAGAGTGAGAACACTGAATTCTATCGATAAATCATAGTTATTTTTCCAACTATTGCCAAGTTGTTGAACTCTGGAATTGTTCCCAGGTTTTTTTTTTTTTTTTCCTTATGAGTAGAAGCACTGTAGCAGATTGCTTTCTTTTCTTTTTTTTTTAGTATTTCCTCATGATCTCCCCCAAATTCTAAATAATGGAGACTAAAAGATACAAAGATTTGTAGTTCTTAAATATTGCCAGATTATTCTGCAGAAAAACTGAACCAGTTTAGAGTATCAGCAATGAAAAAAATGCTAATTGATCTATTAGGAAAGATATCCTAGGTCAGGAGTTCAGTTACACACCAAAAGATCACTAATCAGCATTTCCTTATCTACCGTGGGGCGGTGAAAAGGCTTCATGGAGGTCTTCCATACTTTTCAGGTGTAGGAATCGGTGTGGTCCATGCTGGGTACGAGAGACGCCTGGCCCATCACCTGGGAGCGCACAGCACTCCCTCTATCCTGGGAATCATAAATGGAAAAATCTCCTTCTTCCATAACGCAGTTGTCCGTGAGAACCTACGGCAGTTTGTAGAAAGTCTCCTTCCAGGGAACTTGGTGGAGAAAGTAAGTACCTGGTGGAAAAGTAGCCTGTGAGGTACCTGGGTCCCCCAGCCACCCTGAACTCTATGGTCATCTCAGACCTGAGTTTCATTTTGAACAGGGCAAGACCTATGTTAATTAATTAATTAATCACTCAACTGAAGTTATTTAAGTGAAGTCTGTAGGAGACTGAAAAACAAGGGAGAAAGACTAAGAATCTGTCCCTGTTGGTAACCACTGAGCCCATTTACACTACGGTGGGGATCTGAGCCTGGAATGACAGTGTCTCTCATTTTCTAAACAAAAAATTAGATCACGATGTAGAATGAAGGATTTCTTTCTGATTCATGAACTTGTTCGTTTGAAGGTATCTGTCTTATGAAAGGATTCAAAATAAGTTACATTTGGCTATATTTTTAACGATCACATCTGTGGAAAACACAAGATTCCATGAAATCAAATATTTTTGGAATTTTCAGAACTTAGAGTAATGCAAAGATGAATAAATTTTGCAAACAAAAATTGTGCCAGAGAAGCCAGGCACAAAGAGTTCATACTAGTTTATGTTTTTTACACTTACCCGGCATTTTTTCTCCAGTATCTTAGATTAAGGGTCACAGGAACTAGAACAGGACTCGTGTGTGCTTTAAATAATTCATTCCTTTGACTATACCAGGGGAGTGAACATACCAGCGTTTCCATCCTATTTCCACGTGCACTGTTCATAGACTATCCCGCCGGGATCATTATCTACAGAAGAAATATTTGGTGGAGCTAGAGAGAGTATGGTAGGCTACTAGAATAATCGTAGGTTTCTGGATGGGTCCTCAAACATTTATGAAATGTCTGTTCTATGCCAGTCACTGTAAGTGTTGAGGACGCTTTTCAAGGAGCTCCCAGCGTAGCAGGTGATTATTTCCATCTGATATGCTGAAAGGCTGTCCGAGAGAGTGGGGAAAGGCTTCCTGGCAGAAACGGCCCATGCACTGAGTTTGCCAGGTGAAGTGAGAGGTAGGGAATGAGGGAATGAGGATGGGACATGAAGCATCCTGCTCTGCGTGAAGTAGTCGCTAGTGAGCAGGAGAGGGCAGGACTAGAGGGGTTTGTAGGAATCTCGCTGCCTGGCCACCCAATAGAGGAACTTGGGTCTTGGCTTGCAGGTGCTGGGGCCAATGTAGGGGGCTGAGCAGAGAGTGAAATGATCAGATTGAGGTTTAATATAGATCATTCTGGAAGCAGAATGGAAAGATAAACCTTTTTTAACTATGAAAAATTTCTAGGGAGAATTTTAATTTGTTAATGTTTTGGGGTTTTCTTTATTTACTTAGAGTGAGCATGAGTGGGGGGAGAGGGAGGAGCAGACTCCCTGCTGAACAGAAAGCCCAACTTGAGGCTCCATCCCAGAAGCCCAGGATTGTGACCTGAGCTGAAGTCAGACGCTTAACCAACTGAGCCACCCAGGCACCCCTTATTAATGTTTTTTTATATTCTCTCAGTAGGATTATTTAAAGCATAATCGGGGAAGCACAAGAGTAGCAATTCAGATGGTAATGAATGAAACTATGTAATATATAGACCAAGTGGGCCCCTTATTTTTTTAAGACATTTTTAAAAGAGTAATCACTGTGTTATCTTCCACAGGTTAATAGACTAAGAAGTACAGTCTATAATAGATTAAGAAGCATGTGTATTCAAAAGTTTACTCTTGTTTTTATAATGTGTTAAGTAATTGTTCCAGAAAAGACTGTGATTTCGATCTGTAAGAGTGGGAACACATGAAAATACGAAATCAATAAGTCTGTTCTTTTAAACCATTTTAGTCAAAGACAAAAAATTAGTGATCGGCGTTTTTTATTTTCTACGAAATACTCTTTTACACATACTTGATTTTGTTTAATTATCTCCTGACTGCATATACTACAGTTGTTGAGAATTGAATACTGAAACTAACATCCTCTCTTCGATTTAAGGTTACAAATAAAAATTACATCCGATTCCTCTCTGGCTGGCAGCAAGAGAATAAACCTCATGTCCTTCTGTTTGACCAAATGCCCGTTGTACCACTGCTGTACAAGGTATTATGTGCTGGGAGAATGTTTGCTCTTTTTTTGGTGGAGAGAACTTGTGGCTTGCTTGTCCTTTGTGAGTAAGAGCTTATCCAAAGAAATGTTTGAAGACCAGAAATTTGCCTCAACCACCATACACTGGGTTGGTGCTTTCCACACACATAATAGCATTTGATCTTCAGAAGAGCCCAGTGATAGAAATATCATCCCTGTTTTATAGACCAAGACTTTTGAAGCTCAGAGAGGTTGTACGACCTCCCCCCTTGGTGACTGCGTGATTCCCAGACCCATCCTCTGAGTGACATCCTCCGCAGCACTTCCAGCACCCATCTGGTTAGCCCTGTGACATGAGACGGGAGAGGAAAGTGTCCTGCTTATTACCCTTTGGCGTGGCCACTGCCATCTTACATAATTGAGGTGATTCCTCAGATACTCCATGCCTCCAACCCAGCGTAGATCTCAGTAAAATGAATATTTTTCTCTCTGTGTAAGAAAAAAATAAAATTCACTGTATTTAGCTTTATTGGTACAATTTTCGGGCGTGGGACATCATAGAATTCCTCGAATTGCGCAGAGGTCTAGCAGCCCGAGTGGGGCTATACACGCTGGCATTCATCACCACTGGTTGAACTGGTCACGCTTGGTTTCTGTGATCCTGCTATCAATTTAATTTCTTCCTCTCTATTACACCCTAACAGTTGACTGCTTTTGCATACAAAGATTACTTGACATTTGGATATGTACGCGTCGGTTTGAGAGAGGCGGAGGAGATGAAAAGGCAGTACAATGTCAATGTCTATGCCCCCACCATCTTGATCTTTAAAGAACACATAAACAAGCCTGCAGATGCTATTCAGGTACGTGACAGTCGCCCTATCTTGAGGTTGCTCTCGTGTTGTATCTTGTGCCTTTATGAATAAACAGCAAAATTGAACAGAGCAAGTGAGAAGGAGAAATTCATTTTTTAATTTCTCCCTTCAGAGGCACAAAATTTAAAAACAAGTTTCGTTTTCATCCTATTTGGTACTGTTTTGCTCAAAAAAATAATCTTTTGATAGAAAATGGGATGGTGGTGATGCCAAGGGCTGAGGGAGGAAAATATGGGGAGTTAATGTTTCATGGGGATACTTTCTGTTTGGGAAGATGAAAAGGCTCAGGAGGTGGATGACAGTGATAGTTTTACAACAATGTGAATATACTTAATCACAGAATTATGCGCTTGGAAATGGTTAAAATGATCCATGGTCAGTTAAGGGTCTGCCTTCGGTTCGGGTCATGATTTCAGGGCCCTGGGATCAAGCCCTGCATCGAGCTCTCTGCTCCGCAGGGAGTCTGCTTCTCCCTCTGCCTCTGTGCTCTCTTTCCCTCTCTCACTCTCTCAAGTAAATGGATAAAAGTTTTTTTTTTAAATTTTATTTATATATTCATGAGAGACACAGAGAGAGGCAGATACACAGGCAGAGGGAGAAGCAAGCTCCATGCAGGGAGTCCCATGTGGGACTCCATCCGGGGATCACGCCCTGGCTGAAGGTGGCGCTGAACCGCTGAGCCACCCAGGCTGCCCCAATAAAATCTTAAAAAAAAAAAAAAATGTCCATTTACATTATATTTTGCCACAAAAATAAAATAAGAGGGTCACCTGGCTGGCTCAGTCAGTAGAGCATGTGACTCTCATTCGCAGGGCTGTAGGTTCAAACCCCACATTGGGTGTAGAGATTACTTAAAATCTTTTAAAAAATTGCTTTAGGGCAGCCTGGGTGGCTCAGCAGTTTAGCGCCGCCTTCAGTCCAGGGCGTGGTCCTAGAGACCGGGGATCGAGTCCCATGTCCGGCTCCCTGCATGGAGCCTGCTTCTCCCTCTGCCTGTGTCTCTGCCTCTCTCTCTCTCTCTCTCTCTCTCTCTTTCTCTCTTTCTCTCTCTCTCTGTGTGTCTCTCATGAATAAATAAATAAAATCTTTTTTTTTATTGTTTTAAATAAAATAAGAAACAATAATCACCTTTTCTAAAGTGATCCTGTCAGAAGATCAGTAATCTTATTCTAAAATAAATTACAAAGCACCTTGGTGGCTCAGTTGGTTAAGCGTCTGCTTTTAGCTCAGGTCATGATCCCAACGTCCTGGGATCAAGCCCCACATTAGACTCCCTGCCCAGCCGGGAGTCTGCTTCTCCCTCTACCCCTCCCCACTGCTTGTGCACTTGTACCCACTCTCTCTCAAATAAATAAGTAAAATCTTTTTAAAAATAAAATAAATTATAAATTCAAAACTTAAATATAAAATCTCAATAAAAAGAAATGAAAGAAAACCATAAACTCAGAGAACTTTTAAGTGAATATCTGATAAAGAACTAAAAATCTTGTTGAAAATCTTAATTATAAGTTTAAAATTTGTATATAAATACTTTAAAATTTTTAAGTTAAGCAGTAAGCTAAGGGAAATATTTACAACCAATCTAAAAAAAGATTTTTATCTTTAATTTCTCTTGAACTACTTCTAATCAAAGAGATCAATACAAAACCTCCCGAAAGTGACTGCTTAATGGGTAGAGAGAGTTTTCTTTCAGGGTAATGGAAATGTTTGGGCCCAGAGAGAGGTGATTGTTATAGAACACCATGAATGTATGGAATGCCATTGAGTGATACATTTTTAAATAGCTAATTTTGTGTTACATGGATTTCATATCCATAAAAAATTAATAAAACTTCCCAAGAGGACTAGTCTGGGAATATGAACAAAATTGTGAAAAGAGATTCAAGTGACTGATAATCACTTTTAAAAATTAAATCTCACTAATCACAAAAAGCCAAGTTAGCATTTTGTTCTCCCATCACATTGTTGAAGATTTTCAAAGTGAAGATATTCAGTAGTAGTGTTGAGAGTAGAGAGAAACAGGTAGTCTTTCGTTTTGCCTAGCTGGAGGAGGCTTCAGAGTTTTCAGAAAAGCAATTGGGTGATAACATGTCAGTTGCCTGGATTCATTCGAGAAAAGCATACTCCCAAGTACTGGAGGGAGCCAAACGCTGCCCTGCATACTGGGGATGAACAAAGTCACCTGCATTCCCTGTCCTAGAGTCCGTCCTGTATTCCAGGGGGGATGACAGACAACTGGCATAACATACTCCATGGTGGCGTGTGGAGGAGGAGAAGCGCTATGGAGAAAAAGAAAGCAGGAGAGGGGAATGTGAAGTGTCAGGAGAGCAGGTTCACATTTTCTAAGGTATTGTGGCCAGGAAGGGCCTCCTTAAGGTGACAGTGGTGTATAAAGACCTCAGGGAGATGAGATTACCTTTTAGGAATCCGTCCTCAGGGAATAGGAATTCAGCCAAAAATTATATACAGAGACATTACCATTTGTAGCTGGTTTCACTGGGGGAAAAATAGAAGTATCCAACAGTAGGCTCATTATTAGTAAATCCCGAACAGGGACGGTTATATAGCCGTTTAGCCATTAAAACAGCAGTTCAAGGACACTTAATGATGGGGATAGTTTTCAAAACATAATTATTAAAAAGAGCAAGCAGGATGCAAAACTAAGGTGCCTCACTCTGTAGCAGGTCTGAACTGTGTGACCATTTCAGGCCTGAGTTCCCTATTAATTAATTACTCAGATGAAATCATGTAAACAAAGTGTATAAAAGACTGAAAATTGAAATAAATGAAGCACAGAGACTAAAGGATCTCAATGCATATCAATTATATACACAATTTAAACATTGATCTCAGTTCATGTGTATAGGTACATGCATACACATAGGAAAAAGCTGGAAATAAATACATCTCTTGATGGTAAAATTAGGTATTATCCTAATGTTTGGGTTTTCAGAAATCCCTCTCATGAACATGTCTTATTTTATTTCTTTAGTGTCATTTTTATTTTCTATTCTATTTTTTAAGATTTTTTTTAATCTCTGCACCCAATGTGGGGCTCGAACCTACAACCCCAAAATCAAGAGTCAACACGCTCTACCAGCTGAGCCAGCCACCCCTATTTTTTCAAAAAAGCAACAAGAACCCTTTGACTCACCTCTCTTAAAGGAAGCTAGAAGTTCTATAAAATCCCTTATTTCAATTCATTCAGTAAATGTTTCTTTGCCTGCCTGCTGTGTAGTAAATACAGAGGAGCTCTGAGGAGCTCTGACATCTAGAGTTAAGCCTCTGTCCTCACGACTCTGTCCGAGGAGAGAGGCCTGAGGGCAGTTTCCATCCATCCGCATAGGTGACTCATTCAGATGTGAACGGAGAGGAAAGACCCTTGAGCCTGGGGCTAAGTGAGAGGCAGAACCAGATGGGGAAAGTGGCAGTGAGGAGAGAAGAGCAGGTTAGGAAGCAGGTAATGGATTCAGTTGTGGATGTGCAGAACGAGAGCTGCGTGCGGGAAGTCTGAGAGGAGGTGTCCCTTGGACAGTGGAGCGTAGGGACCTAGGTCTTAGTGAGCTGGGGAGAGAGATTGGTAGCTCATCAGTGAGGGTTGGAGGTGCCAGTCCTCACTGCGGAGTGATCTCCCAGGCATCCATAGCAGGTGAAGTAAGGAGAGAAGGGAGCCAAGGACAAAATTCTGGACGAGCGCCAGCAGTTAAAAAAGGGGTGCCCTGCCCAATGGCAGCTGAGTGGCTGAGAGAATCACGAAGAACACATGCCAGTGGTGAAGAAGGAACAGAACTTCTCAGTTCAAAATTAATCTATGAAAACTTCCTAAATTGTTTTTCAGTAATAGCTTCTACTCTGGAGAATGATTTATTTATCCCTTGGGAAAAATTGTAGCTCAAATACATTTACAGAATTACTGGCATAGGAGAGCCTGGGTGGCTCAGGCGATTAGGTGTCCAGCTCTTGATTTCAGCTCAGGTCATGATCTTAGGGTCATGAGATCAAGCCCTGCAACTGGCTCTGTGGTGGGGATAGAGCCTGTTTAAGATTCTCTCTCTCCCTTGCCCCTACTTACCCGTGAGCATGCACATGTGCACGCCTGCTCTCTCTGTCTCTCTCTCTGAAAAAAAAAAGTACTGGCATGATGGATGCTTCACCAGTTTGTTCCTGTGGATATAAGAACGGTACCTCCCAACAGCAGGTCACTTGGTAGGTGACACTCGCAGCACCACTTGTTTCGTGGAGTCCTGCTATATTTGCCTTCATTTGCTGTGTAGTATTTAGGGCCACAAGGTAACTTCTTGGCTCATTCTTCTGGCAGTGGGCAATTTCAGGGCTTTAGGGGCAATGTTGCCATGAACATCGTGTGTATCTCAGTCTATGTGGGTTTCTCTAGGACAGCAGTTTTCAGAGATTCACAGAACCTGGGGTAGGAGTGAGAAGTGTGTGAGATCAAAACTGTCTTCATAATAACACAGAGACATAATTTGTCCTTTTCCTCTGTGTTGACACCTGCGCTGATAGTGTGAAGGCCACGGTGGGTAAAACTACCAGTGCACAGCCCAGTGCACAGTCCAGTACATAATCCAGGGCCCAGGCCCCAGACCACCAGGAAGCATCTGTTTTTCATTCCTAAGCACTCACCATAAAAACAAACAGAAACAACTCTCATGTATCACTTAATACCCTTGATGAAGCGATAGCAAGTATTAATTTTATTAATGAATTAACCCTTGAGTACATGTCTTTTAGATGTTTTTAATCTGTGTGACAAAATGCAAAGTGTACAAAAAGCGCTGCTACATGGCAAAGTATAAAGGTTGTCTGGAGGGTAAGCATTTTAATTAAATCACGATTTAATTCATGAGTTTTGAACTAGCCCCCTTTTTAACAGAACATTATTTTTACTTGAAAGAATAATTGACAGACAACTGGTTATTCAGACTCAGGTTTGGGGCAGACATTCCCCAAAAACAGTGAGCCTAGCACTT